GGAGCTGGAATTATCCCCTTTGTGCAGATGAGACCCAGGCAGAGTACAGGAGTAGTTACGAGCCCTGGGCCCAAACTCCACTTCCTACTTACTGGCTGTGTGTCTATACACTACTGTTTTCCTGTCTGAAAATGAAGACACTGTTGTGCAAATTATGAGTCAGTATTTGTAAAGTGGTTGGGACAGTGCCTGGAATTCATACTTTATTGTAAGTATTAGTTCTGATGGGGAAACGAAGGCACAGCAAGGTTATGACACCTGCCCAAAGTCACACAGCTCACAAGCAGGGATTTGTCACCAAGTTAGTCCCTCTGACTGCCAAGTTGTGCTCTTTCTGGGCTCTCCGAACCAGCAGCTGCATTGAGGGTAGATGGCAGTGTGGCTTCTGTCCAGTGGAAGCCCCTCGATCCACAGAGACCTTATTCGTGGCCCCTCATTTCTTATCCCTCAGAAGTTCCACCTCATACCAAGCATCAACGCTGTGAGTGGCAGCCAGGAGCTGCAGTGGATGGTACAGCCTCACTTTCTGGGACCCAGCAGCAGCTACCCCAGGCCTCTGGCCTACCCCCAGTACAGCCCCCCCCAGCCCCGGCCGGGAGTCATCAGGGCCCTAGGGCCACCTCCAGGGGTACGTCGCCGGCCCTGCGAACAGGTAAGTAGCAGAGGCACTGTGCTCATTCTGATGCTTACAGGGGGCTGAAGTGCAGAGGACAAGTTCTTCCTTAAAAGAACACAGGCTTAGGAAGGGGTGATCCAGCAGAGGGCAAAGAGGTCACCGCTAGATCGGGGAAAGCTTTCTGGAACTGGATGTCTATTAGGGTAGAAGGATGGGTTGAATTTGCAAGGATAGAGATGAAGAGGAAGAGAGGAAGGCAGGAACATGAAGAGAGGCGGAGGTGAGAATGTGTGAGGCGTACAGGTGGAAAGGTGCGTGGACAGTGGAGGGGCTCCACCTTCTGACATATGTGGAGAGGCTGAGCTAATGTGTCAATGTGGCTGGGGAGAGAATGGAAAGAGAGGGCTCCCTACAGCTCCTCTCTGGGTTTAAGTTTCCCTATCCTATTTAATCCTTACAAAAAGCCTCTGGGGAATGCATTTTGGTTTTCTCCATTTTATAGCTGGGGAAATGAAGGCACACAGAGGTAGTCACTTGCCCCAAATCCCACAAGTGAGTAATGAGACAGGTCTTTTCAATTCTAGAGTCAGATCCTAACCATCAAGCCACACTGTCTCATCCAGAGCTAACAGAGTCTCAAAGCAGAGTGAGCTGGGAACTCTCAGCTCTCCAACCAGGGTTCCTGCCTTTATGCTGCTAAGAAAGTCTGTATCAGGGGCGCCTGGGTGGCTCAGCCGATTAAGCCTCCGACTTCGGCTCAGGTCATGATCTCACGGTTCGTGGGTTCGAGCCCTGTGTTGGGCTCTGTGCTGACTGCCAGCTCAGAGCCTGGAGCCTGTTTCGGATTCTGTATCTCCCTCTCTCTCTGACCCTCCCCTGCTCATGCTGTCTCTCTCTCTCTCTCCCTCTCTCAGAAATAAATAAAACATTAAAAAAGTCTTTATCAAAATAAATAAGAGCTAGAGGGTTTGTTTATTTATTTATTTATTTATTTTTATTTATTATTTTTGGAGAGTGAGCAGAGTAAGGAGCAGAGAGAGGGGTGAGGCTCCGTGCTGACAGCACAGAGCCCGATGCAGGGCTTAAACTCACGAACCGTGAGATCATGACCTGGGCCAAAGCTGGATGCTTAACTCAATGAGTCATCCAGGCGCCCCCAGAGAAAGAGGGTCTTTTAAGGGAGTGGCTTCTCTTTCCTCTCCCTGGGGCATTTTGGCATGTGAGACTGTAGTGGAGTGAGTCTCGTACATTAAAGAGCTTGCCCTGGCAGCAGGCTAGAAGATGAGAGAGGTCAGGATCTTGGGAAAGATGTGCAATTAGACAGGGGTGGCTTTGCCAGAAACAGCCTGGTTGCCCTTCGTGACCAACTGGAGAAGACCATGCTGTGAGCCCCAGAGGTAGGCTGCTGGCCTTCCCTCCTTCAGCCCTGTCCTAGGTGGGTACTCCTAGACTGCGGCCGTGAGCTCCCCTTTTGGGGGAGGTGGTCTCCATCAGTGGGCCTCTCCATGTTGACTAAAGTGAGTGGATTTTAATTTCTGCTCTGGGACCATAAACGGCTTATTCATCCTCTCCGGGCTTTAGTTCCTTACACGGAAAATTGGGTTAAGAATCTGTGTAAAGCTCTTAGCTTGCATGGAAGAGGCTCCCAATAAATCACAATTTACTCAGCTGCAACACTCATTAGTCCCTCCTAGTGCTTACAGCCCCTGGGGAAGGGAACCCTTGGTTATCAAGAGATTGAAAAGGATGAGGGTCATTCGAAAAAGAGCGGCTGAATCCCAGGAGCTCAGAGAAAGAAAAGCCACTTCTGGCTAGGGAATGAGAGAAGGCTTCCTGGAGGCGGGGGTATCTCAGTGGAGTCCTGAGAGATGGAGAGATGGAGTGAGTGAGTGAGTGAGTGAGTGCGCGCGCGTGCGCACGTCGGGGGAGAATTCTGAGAGCCAAAAGCTGGCTGTGAGGAGGAAGTGTGATTAATTCAGTCTTACTAAAGCGTGAATGCGGGGAACCGGTCGCGGCGCAGTGGTCCCTGAAGCGCAGGCTGGGGGTGCCCCGCGCTGCTATGTCCTCCCGCTAAGGTCCTAAGCACTGGGCCACCTCACGAGGCCAAGTGCCGGGCAAAGCAGTGGCCCAGGGTCTACCTCGCTGATCTGACCCTTCTATCCCACCCCCAGATTAGCCCGGAGGAGGAGGAGCGCCGTCGAGTGAGGCGCGAGAGGAACAAGCTGGCCGCGGCCAAGTGCAGGAACCGGAGGAAGGAACTGACCGACTTCCTGCAGGCGGTGAGCCCTGGCTGGTGCGGAGGGTGGCCAGGCCCGGGCCCACGGAACCTCCGAGGGGCGCGGCTCCCCGGAGCCTGCCGGGCCCCAGGGGCGCCGGTATATGAAGTCCCCTCCCCCCAGCACCCCGTCGGAGGTGCAGTCCTTCGGGAAAAAAAACAATGAGGAAAAAGCGATTAAAAAGTAGCTACAGCCCTTCTCACTCCAGCAGAGCGTCAGAGCTAAGGGTTCGGCCATCGAGCTCCTAAAATGCTCCCCGGCCTGCTGGGAGTCGTGCCGGTTTTGTACCAAGGGCTCATGGGAGTTGTAGTCCAGACTCGCTGGGGACCCACCCCTGTTACGCCCCAATTACCACCACCTCCCGGAGGCTACGCGATATTCCGCCTTCCTCTTAGAACTCCTCTCCCAACCCTTTGCAGGAGACTGACAAACTGGAGGACGAGAAATCTGGTCTGCAGCGAGAGATTGAGGAGCTGCAGAAGCAGAAGGAGCGTCTGGAGCTGGTGCTTGAAGCCCACCGTCCCATCTGCAAAATCCCGGAGGGGGCCACGGAGAGGGACACTGGCGACACAGGCGGCACCAGCGGCACCGGCAGCCCACCGGCCCCCTCCCGCCCTGTACCATGTATCTCTCTTTCCTCGGGGCCTGTGCTTGAACCTGAAGCATTGCACACCCCCACGCTCATGACCACACCCTCCCTGACTCCTTTCACCCCCAGCCCGGTCTTCACTTATCCCAGCACCCCTGAACCCTGTGCCTCAGCCCATCGCAGGAGTAGCAGCAGCAGTGGGGACCCATCCTCTGACCCTCTGGGCTCTCCCACCCTCCTTGCCTTATGAGACAAACTAGCGCCCCCTACCCACGGGTGCCGCCCTAGCCAATGTCTTCCCACCCACTGGTCCAGCTGGTCTGGACCGTATCCCGTGCCCAACCCTAGCAGTTTCTTCTCCATCCCTCCAGAAGAAACTGAGCATATTTTGCTTCCTAGTAGAGCCAGCTTGGGGCACCAAAGCTGCCCACTGTTTTTCCAGAGCTGGCTTCTCTAGCCGTTTGCACTAAATCAGAGACAAAAGATTTCCTATCTGTTCGAGAGAACTCCTGGCAGCCCCAAAGGACTTTGTAACTCCCCAGAGGTCCTCTAGAGCCCTAACTCCCTCCAGACCAGGCCTATAGTCTTCATCACCGTCTTCTGTGATCCACCCAATCCTACTCTGACAGGTGATACTCTACCAGCCTAGAACACTAACTCCCTAGCTCCACACTGCCGGCAGCACCAAGTAGTTGAACCAGGGCATTCTGCTGGCCCCTCCTGAATGGCAGGAGGGTGTCAGAGGCTTCTGTGATGAGCTGACCTGCAGCCCCCAGCTCTGAGAAGACTTTAGCTCCGGGGAATCCAAGCCTCCACAACGAAGGCAGCTGCTATTTATTTTCCTACAGAGAGTATTTTTATACGAACCTGCCAAACATGGAATAAAAGGCTCGAAGCTCTGGCCTGGTCTCATTGAACCCAGGGGCTAAAGGGAGAATATTTGAAATCGGAAGCCCTAGGCTCCTGTCTCAGCTCCACGGACTTACTGCATGACTTCCGACAAAGTATTTGATATTTCTAGACCTCAACGGTCTTATCTGACAAATGAGGTTACATCTGTTCTGCCTCATCTCCAGAACTGAGAGCAGGAATAGAGTGCTGTTGGGTGCAAGCCAAAAGGATTATCGTCTTCCTCCGGATGCGGGCCCACAGCGCTCCTGCGTGTGCCACAGGAGGGCGCTCTTATGCCCCTTCCAGACTCCGGGGAGGTCGCTCAATGGGTTCTAGGCCCCCAACACCTGCTTCCTGCCCCATTGTCTTGAACAGGAAGGAGCCGGGAAGGGAGCTGGAGCCACTTCAGGGGCGAGATCACGGTCTGTTCCGAGACCTGACGGGGGGTTGGGGGTGGGGGGAGCCAGTGGCTTACCACGGTCCCACATCCCGTCCCAGGCTTGAGGTAGCGAGGGTTGGCCACGTTAGTTCTGCAGCCCCTCCGGATGGGAATGGTACCCTGTCTCAACGTCCCCGCCCTCGTCCCCAACCCGGCGAGTCCCAAAGAGACGCTGCCCAGGCCACGGGCTCTGCTTCCGTTCCAGTTTATTAGCCCCCACCCCGTCCCCGGCAAGTCCCTCCGCTCCAGCATCCAGTCCCCCTGCTGCCACACCAGAGAGAGCAAGGGGCCCTCCTCAGTGCCAGAGTCTCCAAATCCGTGCCAGCGGCCCGTCGTGCGAGGGGGGACGGCATCCAGGTCCCGAGCTCCACCGCAGTCCCCGCGTTTGGGAAGCAATCTGGTCGGGCGTCGACGAGAAGGAAGCTGAGCCCTCAGTCATCTGGGGAGCAGGCCAGGGGCAACTGATCGGGACTCCCCACGCTGCCCGTGCTGGAGCTTCCATCGCCCAGGTCGCGGGGCCCGCAGGGGGGCAAGGCGAGCTCGGGTGTCGGCCCGGCGCTTGAGCCCCCCGCGCCGCCGGGGCCGCCCCGGGGGCCCCACTCCTCTCCCAGAGCCAGGCAGAGCTCCTTAAGCGCCAGGTTCTCCCGCAGCAGCTCCTCCTGGCGGCCCTCCAGCTCGGCCAGCTTCTGCCAACAACCGCCCAAGTCTTCGCGCACCGCTCGGGATGCTTGGGTCCCGAAGAGCTGCCACTGGCGCGCGGCGCGCCGCCCGCGCTGGCGCTCCGAGTCCAGGAAGCAGCAGAGGTCGCGCAGCTCGCGGTTCTCGGCCTGTAAGCGCCGGTTGAGCTGCTTGAGCTCGCGGATCTCGCCCAGGTGACCCTGCAGCTGCCGATTCACCTCCTGCATGAGGCGGCCGCGCTGCACCAGAGCCGCCAGGCGCGCCGCCTCCTCCCGTCGCAGGCGCCGCACCAGCTCCTCCTTGCCCAGCGCCGCCATCTCCTCGTCCGTCAGCTCCTCCAGGCCGCCCGCCTCGGCCTCCATGGCTGCTCAGGCCTCTGGAGCATCGCCTGCCCGCCGCCGCGGCCCAGGAGCCCCACGTCCAGCTCGGCGCGCTGGGGCTCGGGCTCCGGCTCCGCGGGCGGCAGGCTGTGGTCTTGTAGCGTAGGCTGCACCAGCCGCCCAGGGGTGGGCACGCGGCGGGGCGCGCGCCGGGGCGGGGCCGCGTGACGTTAAGGAAAGACAGCCAATCCAGGAAGCCTCCCCGGAAAGGGGCGGGACTCGAGCTCAGAATACAGTGAAAGAGCGAGGGCGACCCATCTAAGCCCACTCCGGACCCCGGAATGACTGGCCCTCGAGGACACTGGGTCCCAGCATCACCACCCTCCCCAACAGTTGACCCCAAACTCGACGCTTCGTACCTCCCACTTCCAAACCTCCTCAAGTCCTAGCCTAGGCCTCTCGGCTCCTTCTCAGGAACCGACTCCCGCGTGGGCCATCGACTCTCCTGCCCACCTCCTGACGGAACCCAGACAGATCTCGTTTCCATCTTTCCCGGCTTAGTTCACACTCGAGAGTCTTGGCTCACGGAACATCTCGCTCCCAGCTCTTGGGAACCAAATGTGCCTGGCCCACCATCAGCCTGGCCTCTCAGGGACAGGTTTCCTGCCCCCGGGGAAGGTGCGTACAGGGATTCATTTGTTCAATAAACTTCTATTGTGTGCAAAGACTGTGCAGAAATAAACTTGACTTAGATTCTGACCCTGTTCTCAAAGAGATTGTAATCTAGTAGAGGAGACCGGCTGTGATAAACAAGAAGCAGACAAGGAAGGGGCATGGTTTGAGAACCTCCACCCCCCCCCAAAGAAAAAGGTTTTCCCAAAGGGGTGGTAATCTGAGGGGCCCTGAAAGATGTATAGGCTTTTGCCAAGTAGAGCTATTTCAGGGAGTGGGAAGAGCATGGTGAAGGATATTGAAGATATTGGGGACCAGCTGCTTTAGGAACTGACAGTAGCTCGATGTTTCGAAAGGTAGTTGTGTGGAGAAAGTGGTAAAGTGAGGGAGAGAAGCAACAAAGGTAGTTGGCTGAAGTGTTTCCACAGGCCAGTAAAGATTTTAGGCAGGAGATTAGCATTTTAAAATATATATGCATGGGGGGGGCTCAGTCTGTTAAGCGTATAACTCTTGATTTTGGCACAGGTCATGATCTCAAGGTCATGAGATTGACCCTTGCCTCAGGCTACAAACTGGGCAGGAAACCTGCTTCAGATTCTCTCTCTCTCTCAAGCTTCTCTCTCTCTTTCCCTCTGCCCCTCCCCCGCACACTCTCTCCCTCTCAAAAAAAAGTAATTAATTAAAAGAATGTAATACGCACTAAAAAAAATTATTCAGGCTGCTCTGTGTGGGATGGACCCTGGGGAAAAGGTGTAGGCAGCGAGATTAGTAAGAACACTGTGTCAATGGGCAAGATAGAGCCACGCAGGACTGGGCTGGGTCAGTGCCAGTGGGGGTGGAGAGGACAAAACATCCCAGAAATACTCAGGAGGCAAACCAGCAGAACTAAACGTGAGGAGAGAGGAGTCTGGGAGAAAGCTCAGGTTTTGCCGCATGAGAACGGGGTGAATGTTGGGACTGTCACTGTGACAGCAACACAGGCGACAAACAGATTGGAAAGAGGTCCGTCTGGCTTTTGAGGGGCCTATAGGGAGACAGCTTGGAAAGGCCTGCAGATGGACGGCCCTCCTGATGTGGACTTCCAGGAAGAGCTCTGAGCTGCAGAGTGAGAGAGGTCATCGGTGGAGGTGGGAGGGGGGGTGTCAAAACCATAGGAAGAAATGCCCTATGGTCACAAGCGGTGCTCATCCGCAGGCTGGCCCGAGGAACACCCAGTTAGGGCCCTTGGAAGTCAGGTCAGACATATTTTTTGCAGAGAAAAGATTTAGGAGAGAGACCTGTGAAACCACTACATTTAGGATACAGATCAAAGTAGAGACGCCCAGAAGAGGGCAGAGAAAGTGGAAGAAAAGCCTGGAGAAGTGAGGGGGGAGGTTAGAGGGGCAAGGGAGGCTGGCCGCTGGCTGGCCTCGACTCCCAACGTCTTCCTGCAAACTGGGCCAGGATTAGGAGTGGGGGTGAGGGCAGGGGGCGGGGACAAGGGACCAGAGATTGCCCCTCCCGCCGGGGGGAGGAGCTAGTCCTCTTCCTTCACCGCTTCTCCGCCCCCCCCCCCCCGCCCCGTCCCGGAAGTGGTCCTTCTCTGGCTCCGGGTCCGCGGAGCCGAAGCCCCGCGTTCCCGGAAGTAGCCCGCCGGCGGGGCCCCGGGCCCGGGGCAGTGCTCGCTCCCGCCGGGGCGCTGCCGCCGCGCCCGGGTCCGGGCGTCGCCATGACCAGCGAACTGGATATCTTCGTAGGGAACACGACCCTCATCGACGAGGACGTGTATCGCCTCTGGCTGGATGGTTACTCTGGTGTGTGGGGGGCCGTCTGTGGAGCGGTTCAGAAGAGGCGGTTGTTTGGGATGCGAGGGGGGCGGGGCCAGGACTCGGGCGTCCTCCGGGAAAGTGGGCGGAGGGAGTAAGGGTTGTGTAGGGGTCGGAGCTGGGGTCCCCTGAGGGCCCGTGGGTCGCGCCGAGCGGGTCCTAATGCTCCCCCCACTCCCCAGTGAGCGACGCGGTGTCCCTGAGGGTGCGCTCGGGAATCTTGGAGCAGACGGGCGCGACGGCAGCGGTGCTGCAGAGTGACACCATGGACCACTACCGAACTTTCCACATGCTCGAGCGCCTGCTGCACGCACCGCCCAAGCTGTTGCACCAGCTCATCTTCCAGATCCCGCCGTCCCGGCAGGCGCTGCTCATCGAGAGGTGGGGACGCCCCGACCCGTGTGGCCCATTTTGCAGGCCGACACTGAGGCCCGGGTGGGGACGGAACATACACAAGCTGTGAGAAAATTGAGAGCAGGACGGGCCAAACCTAGGCCCTGCCTGACCGCCTTTCCCCTCCTGCATGGAAAGTCATCGGTGTCCTCTGCCTCCACGCAGGTACTATGCCTTTGACGAGGCCTTTGTCCGGGAGGTCCTGGGCAAGAAGCTGTCCAAAGGCACCAAGAAAGACCTGGATGACATCAGCACCAAAACAGGCATCACCCTCAAGAGCTGCCGGAGACAAGTGGGCACTGCACCCCCGCTCCCTAACACAACATCTCATGTCCAGTCTACCCCTTCATTCCATGCCTTTGGTCAAGGCCCCACCTCCTTTCTCCTTCCCCACCTCTGGTGTGGCAGGGGCTTCGCATTCAGTGGCCCCTCCCATCGTTTTGCACCTTCCAAACCACCTCCTGCTCTCTGCGGGAGCTATTCTTTCGAAGCTTAGATCTGACCATAGCTTCCCCCTCCTGTATACTTTAATTGGCTCCCGCTCCATCCTGAATAGTGGCCACACTATTTGGCCTTGACCTTACTCGCCTGTGATCTGGTCCCTGCCAACCTTTCTTGGCTTACATATTTCCAGCCCCCTGGCTTTCTTGCTCACGCTCCTCCTACCCGGAGGCTACTATTCTTGGCTCTGAGGTACAAAGCAGGGGATTAGATGCCACCTTCTCCACCTTCTCTCTCTGAAAGTACAGGGAGAAGTAACCCTTCTTCTGAGCCTTTAGTATCTTTTCCCTGCGTCTCTTGTTCACTCCCTCTGTACAGCTTAGCATTTGTTCATTTTTTTTTACTTCCTGGATCCTAGCCGAGAGGGTCAGTTCCAGGACAAGCTCCTGAAGACCTGGAGAGCATGATGCTAAAATAGGGGGAATTCAGAGGTAGGAGTGAGCAAACGTTTATCCAAGGCAACATGGTTGAGTGGATAACAGGTATTAACGATTAATAGTTCGTTGAAGAGTACCACTTGGTACATTAGAATATGTTGACTGGATACAGACGGACAGGCAAGGGAGGGATGTTCGATCAGTTTATTGGGTGGCAACCACTGACAAGTCCTCCCTCCTCCCCTAACTTCCCCACAGTTTGACAACTTTAAGCGAGTCTTCAAGGTGGTGGAGGAGATGCGGGGCTCCCTGGTGGATAACATTCAGCAACACTTTCTCCTTTCCGACCGGTTAGCCAGGTGAGGGGCCTGGCAAGGAGCCCGCCATCTCCCCTTCCTGCACGGTCCTTCCTTGGGCCATGAGGCAGGGCTGCTTTCCCCACCCCAGCTCACTTGACCTTCTGGCTGTATTGGGGGATGGTTATCCTACCTTTAGGCTGTGCTTTGGATCACATTGGCCTGGCCTCAAATCCCATCCTGGCCACTCACCGGTAGGGTTGTTGCAAGATGCCTCAGAGGTGCCCAGTGACTGTAACTTTTCCTTGTGGTCTCCCTCTGTATCCCTTAGGAGACCTGGGCTGACACTTTCTCTTTAGGCAGGTGAGGGGGCCCAGAGACAAGTGACTCGAAACATGTCACGTAGTGAGCTGGGGCAGAGACAGGCCAAAACTCAAATGCCCAGCCAGTGCTTCGGGTGGGAGTTCCTCGCCAAAAAGGAATTTCAAAGCCGGACAGGCCCCCTCTCCCCTCCCTGCAGGGACTATGCGGCCATTGTCTTCTTTGCCAACAACCGCTTTGAGACGGGGAAGAAAAAACTGCAGTATCTGAGCTTTGGGGACTTTGCCTTCTGTGCTGAGCTCATGATCCAGAACTGGACCCTCGGAGCCGTCGGTGAGGCCCCCACTGACCCAGGTGCCCGGATACCTCCCCACCTCCTCCGGGCCTGGTTCGCCACCAGCGGTCTCTCCTGCAGGCCCCAGTTCCCAGCATCCTTTCTTCAGTGCCCCCACCCCCCCTCCCCGCAGCCACCGCTGGACCTAGTCCAGCACACCTTGTCTGCAGACAAAGGGCCCGCTGTGGCCTGGGGCAAGTCACTCCCCCTTTCTGACACTCCCTCTTCTGTCTCATGGGGTTCTCTGAGGTGGTGGGTGTGGAAGGCTCGGGATGTCCCTGAAGGGGTTTTTACCCCTCCCAACTCTCTTACGGGCTCTCCTCCAGACTCCCAGGTGGATGACATGGATGTGGATTTAGACAAGGAGTTTCTCCAAGACTTGAAGGAGCTCAAGATGCTTGTGGCTGACAAAGACCTTCTGGACCTGCATAAGAGGTGACCCTGGGGAGTCCCTGGGGTGGGGAGTCCCCGGGGTGGGGCCCCGGCAGCTCTGGGCTTACCCTGTC